GAACCATCCTTTTTCTTGACAAAAAGGATCGGCGCTCCCCACGGCGAGCTACTCGGCCGTATAAACCCTTTTTCCCAGCAGCTCCTGAAGCTGCGAGGATAACTCCTGCATCTCTGGAGGTGCAAGGCGATAGGGCGCCTTGGCGATAGGCGCTGCCCCCGGAACCAAATCGATACGGAACTCCACCTGCCTCTCGGGAGGCACACCCAGCAACTCCTCGGGGAAAACATTCGGGAACTCACGTACTATCGGGACCTCATCGACCGACCTTGGTCTCTCTGCACCTACTCTCGTATCTACCACATAAGCCACAAACCCACTACAGCCCTGGTGTAGACTCTGCCTCGCTCTTGTGGCTGAACAAAATGCCGACCCAGAACGGGTACCCTCGCCATAAACTGTAAGAACTCCCCCACTAGGGTCTCGTATGGTCACCAGCTGTCGCTCGCAGTCGATAACCGCTCCAAATCTGCTCAACCAGTCCATGCCCACGATGACACAGACATCTCCCATAGCAATCGGGACCAAATCAATCGGAAACTCAACGCCGAAGATCTCGAGTACACATCCTCGAATCACATCAGTGGCATACACTGCTCTCTCGTCAGCTATGGAAACTCGCAAAGGTCGACTCAACGCCTCTCGACGAGTACTGATGTGCTGACTAAAGGCTAACGACACAAAAGACCAACTCGCACCCGAGTCAAATAACACCAAAGCAGGTACATAACACACAAGAAATGTACCTACGCATAACACAATATAAGCACAACACCACAATCCAAAAATAAGCAGATGAAAGAATACATACCAGCCACGACATCGGGAGCTGCGCGGACCTCCTCCGCTGTCAACTGGAAGGCTCTCCCGCGAGCCTTTGGCGCATCGGCCTTCACTGGCCGACTCTCCGTAGCTCGCACGGCAGCAGGGACAGATCCCTGAGCTGACCCTCGCAACTACGAACACTTTGTCTTCCGGTGTCCGGTCTGGTTGCAGTGAAAACAAACTACAAACCCCTTGGGGCAATCCTTGGCCATGTGCCCCTCCTTGCCACACTTGTAGCAAGACCCTGCTCTACAAACTCCCTCGTGACCCTTGCCGCACTTGCCACAAGTGCGGCCCTTCTGGTTCCCTGATCTCGAATCGGCGGGCTTAGCCCGCTTGGCTGCCGGCTGGGACTGTGCCGGTCGCCGATCTCTCCCCTGAGACTCCGCCTCCTCTCTAGCCTGAGTCTCTAGCTCTATGTCCCTCTTCTGGGCATTTGCCTGAAGCTCAGCAAATGTCCGGTATGACGAGTTCGCCACGAACTCTCGTATGTCCCTCCTCAGAATACTTAGATACCGACTCATACGTGCCTGCTCGGTAGACACGTGCTCAGGGCAAAACATCGACCTCTCATGGAACATCCTGGTGATCACAGTCGCAGACTCAGTACCCTGCTTGAGGGTCAGAAACTCCTGGGCCAAACGTTCCCTCTCCACCGGGGGAATGTACTCATCACGAAACATAGCGGTGAACCTCTCCCAGGTCACTGCGGCAGACTCTGCAGGTGTGTAGTGCGCTGTCACAAACTTCCACCAGTCCTTCGCTCCCAAGCGAAGCTGGTTCAGCGCGAACCGAACTCTCAGATGCTCCGGACAAGAACACGTATAAAAGCATCCCTCAATATCAGAAACCCATCTCATCGCAGCAATCCGGTCCTGCGTCCCATCAAACTCTGGTGGCTTCGTGTTGCTGAACTCTTGGTACAGCAACAAGTCACCCCCCTGCGGCCTGGCAGCAGCGACGGCTGCGGTGGCCGCAGTAACAGCAGCCTCAGTGAGAGCAGCGTACCACTCATCAAAAGTCTCGATCAACGTGGTCTTGATAGACCCGAACATCTCTGGTATCTCAGCTCGGATGGCCGCGGCCACCTCCTCGTGAATCAGCCTACGGATCTCCTCATCACTGGTACCACTGGTACCACTGCCCCCTGGGTGATGGCGCGTCCCAACCATGATGTCTCTGAAATACAACACAAAAGGAATCAGAGACTCGCTCGAGTATATTCGCACTCGATACTCGACCCTACTTGCTCTCTTAGTACCCAAAGGATTCTTACTTAGAGTGCGCACTGCTCCGGTGTCTTCAGTAGTACGGGCCCTATATTACCGTCCACACCGCATCAGTATTCACCCTAAGTCCTCCTCCTTGGATCCCAGGTCACCAGTACTCCATATCTCACTAAACTCAGGCTACTCTCTAGTAAACCACTCATAAGTTCCTCGCTGCTACCTACTTACTCTCGAAGCATCTCATAGTAGCAGTAACTCCTAGGCTAAGGCATCACAGATCAGGTCACTCTAGTCCTAATAGTAATACCTAGCCTACTCTAGCATGCATATCATATCATAACACATCTTATAACACATAATGTAAGGGTATTTTGGGAAATCACCGTTCAGGCGCTAGCTGATCGTACACACTGCTCTGCTCTGCTCTTTTCAAAATCTTTTTACTCTTTTAGAAAATTTGTTTATTTTATGAAAACTTTCTCAATTCCTCAGTTTGAGTTCAGATTCATCCGAAGATGCACCCGAATCCCTCAAACCAAGGCTCTGATACCAACTTGTAACACCGTAAATTTCAAAACAATTTTTCACTTTTTAAAATATAATTTCATTCATAAATATTCTCGAATCCCAATGTATCACATATCAAATCCATAAAAACACATCCCAAGATCATAATGTATAAAACTCCAATAGTGTGTACTGATCATGCCGGCGCCTTCCCGCGATCCTCACTGGTACCTGAAACACATAACACAAAACACTGTAAGCATAAATGCTTAGTGAGTTCCCCAAAATACCACACACAACGCATATTAGCCACTCGAGGCTATAACTCTGTTTGACCCTTTGGTCAATGTGTCTCAGTGGGACCCTCCAGTCCCATAACTCTGTGGGCCCTCTGGCCCTAACTCTGTGGACCTTCCGGTCCTAACTCTGTAAACTCTGTAACATACATAGCATAAATCACATAGAAATCCCATCATGCAAAAGCATACAAAATACTCTGTCACATAACTCTAATTACCACCCTAGGTAAAGTATAGTGAGAAGACTCACCTCGAGTAACTCGGTAAACCTCGAACTCTGAAATACTGTACTAGCCTTCACCTAATCACATAAATAAATTCTCTAATTAATACAACTTCTAAAGGCTAGGCCAACTCCTCTCTATAAGTTCTCTAAGAAGGGTAAAAGACCATTCTGCCCCTCTAATGGCTCATAAGTCCAAACACTGACTAATCCCTAAAAGTCAACAGAAGTCAACAGTCAACATTGACCAGACTCGCCGAGTGCACTAGAGTGACTCGGCGAGTACATGCCTGCCTCCTCGTCCCTGGTCCTCACTTGACTCACTGAGTCAACCCTATACTCCCCGGGTCGTTACGGATCGCGAGTCACGGGGCAACCCGACTCGACTTGTCGAGTCCCTTATGGACTCGGCGAGTTCCTCCCATGAAAACTCTCAAAAGATCTCTTGAGGTCAGATCTACTTCACCAAACAGTAGATCCATCCTTCTAACATTCAAAAGTCACGTAAAGGTGCAACCTTTATGTGCATGCAACCCATATCAAGCCTCAAATGGAGAAATATCACTAGAAATGGCAACCTAGTCTCCAATTGCTTATTTGCTTGCAAAAAGCTAGAAGGTAGTGACTCTATGGACCTCTCAAGGTCCAGATCTGATATCATCAACACAAAGGGGACCTCATACTCACTAGATCTTATAAAAAAAGGGAGGTAAAAACCCTAAAATCATGAAATCTATCATATCAATACGAAATAGAAGGGATTATACCTCTAGGGTTTCTCTGGAACAAGGTGGCCTCAAATGACGGCCATAAGGGTCTTTAAATAGGGCACAAGCCCCGAAAATTAGGGCTTCATTTAACAGCGTGGACTCGCCGAGTCCCTTCATTAAATCCAGGCTGGCAGAAGCGCGATTCCACTCGGCGAGTCTGAGCGCCTACTCGCCGAGTCCCTTTCTAAAATTCTACAAAATACTTAAAATAAGATACCTGGGTATCCGGATGTTACACTTCCACTTTCTATTTAACTGTTACAAGTTTTTTCTTTAAATCGTAGAGCAATAGTAATATTTTTGGTGTGCAAGGGTTCGAACCATGGATATCTTTTGTTGAATTCTGCACCTCAACGAGTAGACTTTTATTGCAAATTGTTCTTTGATGCAGAAAAAGGCCTAATGTTCACTTGCTTTTAAAGTTTCTCACCTAATGTTCAACAATTCCATGAACTCTAAAAAATTAGCCAAGAAAAATAAAAAGTTTATGAAATAATTAACTCAGTCCAAGAGAGCTATTTGCGAAAAGTCGTGTTTATCTTCTAGAAATATATGTGACAAAAGTAGTTCATAAAATTAATGGATCTCACAAACCATCCATATACATGTAATCGTTGTTTTTCAGCAAAAGCTGTAAAAAGTAATATCACGGCACGAATTACATTTCATTTTATATATTTTTTGAGAAATATAGTTGTTTGATAATCCCGTTATGGTCATTAAATTATAAAGAGTTTTTTTTAATAATTATTAGATTATTAAAAGTTATTGGAAATGCATCCTCGCCATGTTAAAGTCTGATTTAAATAAAAAATGTAACTTTAGAAATAGAAATTGCAATTGCAATGTATTAGTTTTTGTATTTAACAAATCTATATATTAATGGAAGGAGTATAATTTGCTTGGCAGGGTATTCTTTCTTTTTCAGTTGTGACTTGTGAATGCAAGTTGTCAGAAGTGATTATATTACTCAGAAGGGTATTACCGTCATTTACACCATCACCACTTTCAGACCTTTAAAGTTATTCCCATCCCATCCCCAACCTCTTTCTCTTTCTAAAACCGCAATCTCTTTCCCTTCACACACGTTCTCTTTCTCCCCCCCCCCTCTCTCTCTCTCTCTCTCTCTCTCTCATCCCAAAAAGGTATGGCTCAGAAGAGAGAGATGGAGGAGACCGAGCTCAAAGTTCCTGAAACCTTGACCTTGTGCACACCGCCGATCCCCGCCGCCTCTTCAAAGATGTCCGCTTCAGATGACCGTAGATCGTCGCCGGATAGATCGGATCCGAAGAGCGGTGTTATCGTTGACTTCAGACCAAACTCCGCTGCCTCGCCGGAAAAGTTGGATCTGCCTCAAAAACGACGATTGGAGGTGGATCTGTTCGATAAGAGCGTCTGTAACATGTTTAAGAAGCGGGAGGTGAACAGGTGCTCAGGTTGCAAGAGGAAGGTTGGACTGATGGGGTTTAGGTGCCGTTGTGGCGAGATGTTTTGTTCCGAGCACCGATACTCCGATCGACATGACTGTAACTACGACTACAAAGCCGCCGGACGTGAGGCTATTGCTCGCGAAAATCCAGTTGTTAGAGCGGCGAAAATTCTCAAGGTATGACGCGGAGTCTGGAGAGAGACAAAACGACATCGTCCGGATAATCAATTCATCTCATTTTCGCATCTCCGTTGTAAAAATATGGGGCGGAGCTTAGGAACAGAAAAAGTAGCGAAAGATAGGGTGCTTACGTCACGTTTTTCCGGTGGGAAAAAGGAAGAGTGGGTTGGGGGAGTGGGGTATGGTATGTGAAATTTGATAAAAGAAAAAAAAAAGTTGAGCGTAATATTGTCAATTTGATTTATCATGTTAGTGGGACTTTTCATGAATTACGGTGCTTAATATTTTTTATTAAATTTATAATCAGTATTTCGCTCTCAAGTTTTAGCTGGCAATCTAGAAAATATAAATAAAAAAAAAAGAAAAAAAAAAGTCAGAAAAAGGATAATGTAGCGCATGGTGGATGGACCAACTTTACCAGCAAAGTATTCTGGAAATGTGGCTGTACTGATGCCGCAAATTATTGACGACGCAAGATAGCCCAAGTAATAAATAAAGTTGAATAATTTAGCTTGACATTTGAATAAATTTGGTATCAAACCAAAGAAACTTTAAAGTTATTATAACGAGACGAAAGTCATGATAAGAGTTAACTTTATCAAACCATTGCTTGCATAAAAGTCTAAATTCGGCCCGATCATTTATATACTTATTCGCTATTTCCAAAAAAATTGCAGCCAAATGCAATAGTAATTCGTCACCTTCGACCAAAGAATTTGAGTCGTAATACAACAGCAAAAAAAAAAAAAAAACCATCCTCATAAATTGTTTGGTTTCGTTAAACCAATAGCTGCTATAAAATTAGAGGTGTTTGGGAGTGGTTTTCAAAATGACTATTAATTTATTGAATTTTTAAAAAGCTTAAAAAAGAGTTCGACAAATATCAAATTTTTAATGTAAAAAATGACATTTTTAAAAAGCCAAAAAATTCTAGTTTTTCTAAAAAACCAATAAGTTGATTAAAAATCACTAATCTTTAGTATCCAAAGGAAACCGAGAAATAACCCCATACTCATAAATCACAATACCAATAATTTTCCAAAGGGTTATTATATATATATATATATATATATAGATATATATATATATATATATATATATATATATATATATATATATATATATATAAATGTTGGCTAAAAAGACACATTTTTTTACCATTTAGACAACCCTAATTAATTTTCAACAGGAAACTTTCCATATTTATAATTTTAACACTATATTTTTACTTTTTTTTTTAATTTTACCACTAAAGTTTCAATAAACTTTTCTTATTTATAATTTTGCCCCTTTATTTTTACTTCTTCATATTTTTGCCACTAAACATTCACTTTTACTTTTTTAAAACCCTTTTTCTTTATTCTTTTATAATTTTACCATTTTATTTTTACTTTTTTATAATTTTGCCACTAAAGTTTCAACAAACTTTTCCTCTTTATAGTTTTGGTACTTTATTTTTACTAATTTTGTCACTAAAGTTTCAACAAATTTTTCCTCTTTATAATTTTGGCACTTTATTTTTACTTCTTTATATTTTGCCACTAAACTTTCACCCGTGCAACGCACGGGCCTTTTCCTAGTTGACATAATAACACATGAAAGTTTCACGTTTAGTTTTAAATGATCATTTAATTTTTTTTTTTGACCTTTTAAACCATTAAACTCAAAATTTACCTATCTAAAATATCATTTTTCTCAAAATTATCAAGTTTCCCAGTTATATTTCCTATGTGTACAGTGACTTCTAATAGTCAAAGGTTTCCATTGCCACGTGTACCAACCTATTGCTGAGAAAAAAAATTGAGAATGTGTATTAAGTTTCACCCGCGAACCAAAGAAGGTCGGACTTCCAAACCCGACAAAATCTATCATTTTTCCGATCAATTACAGTTGGTGATGAATCACAAAGGGAATAATTTAGGGCTTCTAGCTCAGCGGTATCCGGTGTTGCCCTCCCTCTTTGCGGTCGGGGGTTCAAGTCCCACTGTGGACATGGAATAATTTAGGAGTAGTTTAATATATATTTGTATTGTCGATCAAAAAAAATCACAAAGGGAAAAAATAATAGGATTTCTTGGCGGCTGCAAAAGACACCGACGGTCAAATTAGAAGAAAGGCAAAGAAAAGTTAATTTTGTTTACCTTAGCCACACTTTGAATGATGCGTTGACTATCAACAGAAATAGTGGAAACCAAACATTACCTTGGTGTATCAAATCATGACAAAGAAAATTGTTTATGCAAAACACCCACATCAAAATATACCTTACTGGTTTTGTGCAGCGCTTTTGTGGTTTTCGGATACCTTTCTTTCAAGAAACAGAGGTGGAAAAAAATAGATATGAACATTCAAACAGAGCTTCTAACAGGGCCAAATAATTCAGTTACATAGAGCTTAAAATAGCCACAAATGGGTTCCATTTAGGTCGGATCATTGGGCATGGTGCTTTGCGTCTGTTTACGCATTTGTGGCATCCTCAGGCAATGCAATAGTTGTGAAAAAATTAAAGCATTTTCATGAAGGGAAGACAATATCGTAATTTGGTTAGCCTCTATTTTGACTTATCTTCATCAAGAATGTGAGCAACAAGTGATTTATAGAGACATTAAAGCTAGCAATATGATGTTGGATGCAAATTTCAATGGACGATTAGAGGATTTAAGGCTAGCCACGATGATTGACCATGGTAAAAGTTTTGTTTCAACACTAACAACTAGAACAATGGGGTATTTGGCCCCTGAATACCTAGCGATGGTGATGATAATGATGAATCACAAAGGAAATATCCATATGGATTTCCTTAACAGTAAACTATAGGAACAAATCATGGACTGAAATACCCAGAGACTTCGTCGATCTGGCTACGAACACACCAGATGGCAAGGTTCAATTCCTTTCTCTGAAAGCTGATTTCTTATGTTGATTCAACTAATTACAGGTTCAATTAGGTTCAAAGGATGCCCATAAATCTAAAGAAAATGTCTGATTAGGTTTTAGTAATGATGCGTGCGTCGAGATGAGATCCAAAACGGAGGTGAGAAAAACAATGGTTTCTAAAAAGAGAAGAGATCGAGAATAGAGATGGTTAGGATGACGATTTGTGCATCAAGATGATGATTTGTGTATCTGGAGGTGACGACCTTGAGTTATTGGGTTTTGGAGCATCCATTAAAGATGAAGGGTAAGATTTACATTTCATTCCTCAGGTTCACGTGGATGTGTCTAGGTGGCTATGGAAACCTTTAACTATTAAAAGTAAATCTACACATCATCACTTCAGCCGGGAAACCTGTTAATTTAAAAAAAAATGGTATTTTAGACATGTATATTTCGAGTTTGATAATCTAAAAGGTCTAAAAAAAGTTAAATGTTCATTCAAAACCAAACACGAAACTTTCATATGTTATTATGTCAATAACCCTTTTCCAAATCCATGATAGTAACACAAGCAAAAAGTCTAGAGAACTAAAGGAAAGTTGCACATCCACTTCCTGGACATAAAGTCTATTTCTAAGTAGAGTATTTCTCCGTGTCACAATAAAAAGACGAGACCCTTTTATTTTTAATAGTTTAGTTTTGAGAATCGATTGGCTAACGATCTTGACCCAACCCATATATCATTCCAAAAATATGTTTAGATCCAATTACCAATTCTTTTGAAGGCGTACCCTCTTGTCAAGTGTCTAAAATCACCATATTACCATGTATACTTTTATCAAACGCACCCATAAGGATCTAGCTTCCTTCAAAAAACATCATCTTCAATTTCCTAAAATACCCCGATTAGTCGCAATAAACTGTTAACCTCATAATCACCAACCTCTTTAGGTGCAATCACCTTCTCACACTAAACCTAATTCAACCCGTTGTGTTTTACAAGAGAAATAAATAATATGACAGGGAACATAACGAATCAAATGTCATTATCCATGGCCTTACATTACCCTATCTTTTAAAAAACTTAGGCCAAAGACCATTATCTAAGGAACATTACCAAACACAATTGTTTAAAAGAGGAGATCATGTAGAGTTTGTGAACGAAAACATACAAGAAAAACAGAAAAAACTGATACCTATGTTTGGAATGTAAAATAACAAGTGAAATACATATAACGGCTAGGGTTTCATATTATTATCAAAGAGAAGTACAAATACAATGAAAAGGAAAGACATAATATATAGACAAGCTAATTAGGGTTTCCTAGCGAAAAGGCCCAATCATAAAACCCAATACAAAATAAAGCCCAAAATCTTATTAGGCTAACATCCCCCTTCAAACTCACAATGCAACAGCAATAAGCATTGGGAGTTTGTCAGACAGAAAATGGAATCGAGGAGCAGTCAACGGCTTCGTAAGAATATCAGCAGTCTGCAAAGAGGAAGGAACATAAGGAAGGGAGATAGTGCCCTTCTGGAGATGATGACGTGTGAAATGACAGTCAATCTCAATGTGCTTTGTGCGCTCATGAAACACTGAATTCTTGGCAATCATTATCGCACTCTCGTTATCACAATACAAAGGGGTAGGCTGAGAGATGTGAACGCCCATATCTGCAAGAAGCCATCTCAACCAAACAATCTCACAAGAGGCGATAGCCATGGCTCAATACTCAGATTCTGTAGAAGATCGAGAAACAACATCTTGTTTCTTGCTTTTCCATGATATCAATGAATCTCCAAGAAAAACACAATACCCAGTAGTGGACTTACGATCATAAATATCACTATCCCAATTTGCATTACTATAGGCACGCAACTCAAGAGAGGATGAAGAAGGAAACATAAGAGTGCGGAACTGAGTACCACGTAAATATCTCAAAATACGAAGAACAGCTCCCCAATGAACAGTAGTAGGAGCAGTGACAAACTGGCTAACCACATGAATTGCATGAGCAATATCCGGTCTAGTGACAGTCAGGTAAACCAAACTCGCAACAATGGTACGATAAAGACTTGGATCTGATAATGGGACACCATCAGTTGGAGAGTACTTTGCATTACTC